CTCCTTGGAGGCCATGATGGCCAAACTTCATCCCTTATACTTCAGACATATTGTCAGAAGGGAACAGTCACTGGAGAAGGATATCATGCTTGGTAAGATGGAGGGTCTGAGAAAAAGAGGAAGACCCCCACAAGATGGATTGGCAATATGGCAGCATCAATGGGCTCAAGCATGGCAACAATTGTGAAGTTGGCCCAGGATCGGTATAAGTTGGTACCGACTCAATGGCACCTAACAACAACAACTACTACTACCTAATGAACAGAAGGTCTAGATGATACCCTGCTACCACTAAAGAAGGTTCTGATCAGGGACACAGAAATAGATCCTGATGTTGTTGTTGTTACTGGTAAGTGCCGTCTGATAGAAAAACAGAAAACAGATCTTCAGATTCTTAAAATAGCCAAACTTAATGGACCCACTGAAATTGGTAAAATCTATTGCCCTGAGGTACTCTTTTAAAGCTATCCTCTGAAGTTACCTTTTGTCTAAGTAGCAAGTTAGCTCAAAAAGAAAGCATGTCACCTTGAAGAACTGTGCTCTACTGGACAACAGTTAGTCTTTAGCAAAATTGAGGAGGCTGGACACAGAGGGGAAGTGGACAGGAGTGAGCCAACGGATTGGAAATCATGAGAATGTCACACAATGTGAGAAATGTAACTAATGTCACTAAACATTATGTATAAAAATTGTTGAATGTGTAGTAAATAAACACGTGTGTTTTGCTATGTATATTTTCACTAAAAATATTCAATAAAAATATCTTTTTAAAGAGTATCAAGAGGGTACTGAGACCAACATGTTCCAGACCCTCTGGTTTAGACCAGTCTTCGGGATTTCAACTCAGAAGTCACATTTATTTAAGTTAGCGTGGACCTCTTTTCCTTTAAGATGGGAATGATTAGTTCAAAAACAACCTAGAGAATCTGAGCAAGACTTTCACAGCAGGGTGGAGGAATGTCACTTCTTCCTTCAGCCAAAAAGCAAGATATGCAAGGAGGGAACGCAATTGATTGTTCAGGGGATTTCTTACCAGATAGTTCTGCATTCTTGTTAAATCACCATGGGACACATAGCTCCCTCTGCCAGGAGTGTGAGCAGATCCTAACCCCAGCCTTATTCATACCATATCATTCCAATCAATGAAGTGCCTTCTCTGAATCCCCCTGACCCTTCCACTTGGTATAACTTAACACAGAATTGACTTATACAGTTCTCTGAAAAATTCCTTATATTTCCCTCAGTTGGTTTTTAGTTATTTTAGGGCTGGTCCCTCCCCTACACCCCTCCTCCACTCCTACCTTCATATCGGTCATTGTATTAGGTGCCATCGGGCCATAGGGACCCTGTGCACAACAGAAGGAAACACTGCTCAGTCTTAGACAGCCTCACAATTGTTGGTATGTTTGTACCTTATTGTTACTGTTACGTGTCACCATAATTCAAATGCCTTTCACCTCGAGGGACTCATCTTCTGGTGCCATGTGGCTGTTGTTTTTTTAAAGTGCTGTTGAGTTGGTTTGTACTCATAAGAACCCTATATAGGGTGGGTTTGAACTGCCAACCTTGCAGTTAGCAGTCCAGTGCTTATCCTACAGCGCCACATCAGGACTCTTTCGGCACTATGAAGGGGCTTCAAAAAGCTCATGGAAAAATAGCATTGTCTTTTAATTTACTTTTTTCATGAATTCTTTGAAGCCCTCTGGTATAGCAGATAATGTCCCATTGCTATTCATACAGCTTTCACTGACCAGTACTTTCAGAAGTAGAGTACCAGATTTCTCTCCCCAACTAGTCTAACTCTGGAAGCTCACTGAAACCTGCCCACCCTAGGGGACCCTGCTGGTATTAGAAATACTGATGGGGTAGCTTCCAGAATCACAGCAACATACAAGCTGCCATGTTGTTAAGTTCTAGCAAGTCGTTTCCTACGCAGAGTGACCCTGTATAAGCTGTAAATCTTTACATAAGCAGAAAACCTCATCTTTCAACTGGTGGGTTTGAACTGCTGACCTTGTGGCTACCAGTCCAGTGCTTATTCTGTGTAAGACAAATTGGTAAATGAGTACACATTATGAAGTAGATATAACAAGCTATGGTTGGGATGCAGAGCTTGGAGAAGTGTCCTAGTGGGGAAATCATAGCATCCCCTTCCATGTGGCCCTGAGACCACTCTACCCTCTGTCGAATCCTTTCTCTGAAAGTTTGGTTTCTGACAGCTGACACAGAGCCAGGGTTCCACTCTGGTTTCCAATCCCAGCTCTGCTTCTTAATAGCTCTGTAATTTGGAGGAAATTTCTTACCTTCTATCAGCCTCAGGTTTATACACTGTACACTGTATGGCAGAGGGGACATTCCACAATGCTGGGCATCTGGTCTAGTTTCTTTTTTCTCTTTGAGTTGGACAGAAATAACTATATACCAATGCCACGAAGATGAGTAGGTAACCAAGGGTAAACAATAGATCATAACTCTCTCAAAGGTGAAAGTTCATTCGGGATTCAGTTCCTTTTCCTCTTTAATGTACGTAGGAGGAGTCAGCTAAATCCCATGTACTAAATCAGTTCCGGCTGTTTATTTAGTCATTAAGGAGTTAAACATTCTTAACCCAATCATTTTCTCCGTATTTTTCTAAAATTCTCTCTGCTTACCCTTCTTAATTTTTGAGAGTCAGTTCTGCCCCCTCCTTTACTGCTTTCTTACCTGGCTCTTCACACGTCTTAACTTAATTTTCTTCTCTTTTTTCCACACGGCTGTGCTCCCATCAGGGTAGGTGGTTCATGGCCTAGATGGGTCAGGAAATTAGAACCTCTTGAGTTTTTACAGTTGTTCTTGTTAAGTGCCGTTAAGTCGGTTCTGACTCATAGTGACCCTGTATAGGGTTTTTGAGGAGCGGCTGGTGAGTTTGAACCACCGAAGTTGTGATTCAAACTGACCCTCCGGTCCAGTGGTTTATGCTACAGCAGTAGTTCCTGTTTAAGCTCCCTGGCATCCTTGGGTGGTGCAAACGGTTAGCTCACTGGGCTAGGTTGGGGGTTTGAGACCACCCAGAGGTGCCTTGAAAGAAGGATGTGGTGATCTCAAATCATCAGTCATAGGTTGGTGGTTCAAATCCACCAGCTGCTCCTGGGAAGCTCCATACAGGGTCACTGTGAGTCAGAACCACTGAGTCCGAGGTAACTTGGTCTTAGCACTTACTTCCATATTCTTATAGACCATAATGGCATATGATTTTGGCTTAAGAAAGTCCCTACACATTCATTTTCTCATCTGAACCTCAGAAAAACCCTGTGAAACAGAAAGGAGGAGGCGTTGTTTCTCCCAAAGTTGCTCTAATTTCAGTTCTGTGCTGTTAGCCAAGACAAAGGCAGATACCAACTGTGGGTCAGGCTTGGCCAACTTCACCACCCTTAGCAGCTTCTACTTGGGAATTAGATTACCAGCTAATGAGAAATTAAACATTAAGTGACTTACTGAAAAAGAGGCCCAATTATTGAAGGTTTATGAGCCTGGTGTGGTGCAGTAGTATAAGCACTGCTAACTGAAAGATCGGCAGTTCAAACCCACCAGCTGCTTCTCAGAAACTCTATGCAGAGTCACTATGAGTCAGAACCAACTTGATGGCACTTAACAACAACATGAGCATCTATGGGTACCGGAGCTCTGGTGTTGTAGTAGATAGCGTGTTAGGTTGCTAACCACAAGGTCATCCGTTCAAATTTACCAGCTACTCTGCTCGAGAAAGATGAGTCTTTCTGCTCCCATAAGATTTAGTCTCAGAAACCCTATACTGGGTTGCTGCTGAGTTGGAACTGACTCTACTGCAGGCAACTAATGGACTTGAGGGTAGAGGGGAAATGGTGAGTGAGACCATGTGGCATAGTTGGGAGTGTCTAACGTTGCTCCCTTCTGGAGTAAATACCTGTGTATAGTTGACAGAGATCAGTCAAGGGAGATCGAAGGGAGACCTGTAAGTCCAAATCAGACTCAGTTTCTGCTTCTGAAAATGCAGCTGATTTCTGAGCTGGATTGTGCATCGAGTGTGGTGAGCAATAGTGCAGTTATGATGAATTTATACAAGATGAATGAGTGCAAATGATAAAGCCTATGTAACAAGTATCATCCAGCTGCAGAGCTTGGGGAAGGGCCCAGGGAGAGCACACAGGACTCCATATTCCATGGGAGGTACCCCAGGGGGGATTGTCCCGTCTGGGTTCATCTGCTGCTTCTGTAACATGGGCTTGTGAACGTGGGCTCCCAGCCAGAGGGGCTCGTGGGGCTGTGGTATACACCTTCTAGTCGTGATACACAGAAGAGGGAGCAGGCCTTTCTTCATACATGTAACCCTAGTATGGTATTACCGTTACAGCCTCCTGGCAAGAACCGTGCCTTCTTAGCGTTGTCTTAAAAAGAGTTCTTGCTCTTGCTCTTTCAACCCCTTGTGGCCAAATACTCGTGATGTTTTTTTTAAATGTGTGTACAGTGTCTTGCTTCAGAAAAGAATGTTTTTTTCAATTCTATAGCATAAAAATACCTAAAAAGAAAAATAGGAGAAACTAGACTATAAAGCTTTTCTTCCCATTCATTTAAATAATTTCCAGCATTTCAGTTTAGGATAAGATTGTGGAATGCTTTTAGGGGAAAGGTGGATAGTTTCAGAATGATGAGCAGCAGACAATCCCAAGGCCAGTGGCCTCTGACCACAACTTTCTACCAGGGTGGTCACACATCTCCACGAACATGCAGTAAAGAAATATGGTTGTTTTCCTTCATGCACCATGATATGGAAACTGTTGGCATGCACTACCAAAATGTGGCAGACTTACCTGTCTATTGTCTTTGTCCTAGCTGTACCACAAATGATGCTGCTGTCTACCAGATCTCTGCTAAGAACTGCTTTGGAATGATTTGCTGCTCTGCTTCCATTGAAGTCGAGCGCTCGTCCGAGAACCCACAACTCCCTCCTAACCGGAAAGATGATGTGGACATGGGTTGGGAACACGAAACAGAGCCATTTGAAGCGCAAAGCTCAAAACAAGTTGATGAGAAAGAACCTCCTTACAAGGAAGAAGAAAGGACCTCCTTGGGCAAGTCCATGTCAGCTGATCTCTCCCCCACAAAATCCAACCATTCAGACTCACTCCAGTCATTGGCCAATGACGACACTCAGACCTCCAGTTCTGAAAAGCTTTGGGATATTAAAGGAACAAGGCAAACTCAAGTGACATGTGATCCAAATAACACCGAGGAAATTGCCGAAGGCTTTCTTTTCCCTATTTCCAGTATTCCTCCCAGAAAGCAAAATGGATATTCCCACGGGACAGTGCACTGCAGCGTATCCCAGCCCATGGATGGCGTCAACAATGAAGACCCTAATGATGACAATGTCTTAAACTCTAGTCATCAGCAGCCCAGAGTTCAGAAATATATTAGCTTCAGTCAGCCCCTCTCTGAGGCAAACACATCTACCTGCTCAGGTACCCCCAATGACAGACAGCTCTGTATGCACGTTTCCAGCGAAGACTCCGACAGTGACTATGAACTTTGCCCAGAGATAACCCTCACCTACACTGAGGAGTTTTCAGATGATGACTTGGAGTATCTGGAATGTTCCGACGTTATGACAGATTACTCTAATACCATTTGGCAACGATACCTGCGGGGGACTGAGTGTGTTTTTTTATTAGAAAGCGATGACGAAGAGATGGAATTCAGTGAGTGTGGCCTGGCTGGGGGTGGGCATTTCCTCAGCGAAATGAGCTGTGAGGTTCAGGTGTCAGATAACATTGAACCTAGGGATACCCTCCCTGGCCTCTGTGGTTATCACTCAAAACCCCAACAAGTGGGGGTAAGGAGCAGCGGAGCCTCCACCCTCATCCCCTCACCCCTGCAAGTAGGGATGACTCTGACTTTGGGCCCTCACCAGGATGGAACGTCGACGGTGACAGACCAGGGGAAATATAAAGTCCCCTCTGCTTCTGGGGTTGCTGGAAATGTTTATCCAGGAATTCAAGGAGAAACCAGAGACAACTGTCCAGCAGAAGAGGAAGTTGCCAGCGGCAATCTGCTAACCATGGATTCAGCACCAATGGAGATGAAGCCTGGTGAGTTAGAAACTTCAGGGACATGCCAATGTGTGGGAACTACAGCTGAGAAGAGAGTTGGGGAGAAGAACTTATGGAGCATGAACTCACAGAAACCTGCCAGTGTGAGGCGACCAGGAGCTAAGGGGAAGCTCAAGAAGCTGAAAGCCCACCTGAAAGAAAATGCAACAGAGGGCACACTAGATCTCCTACATCCCAGAGAACCTGCTAGGCACCCACTAACCCAGAGTGACAAGAAGGAGCTTTCTCACGCCAGTGTAAGAACTACCAACATGAATCTCCAGTTCCATACAGAAGACTGCACTATCTCACCCCAAGCAGAGCAAGAGGTAAAAACACTTCAGACGCCAACAGATTCGCTCCTCAGAGAAGGAGGAGGGACAAACTTCCAGGGGGAAGAGACACAGCTTACTGATCTATGTGAAGCAAGCCAGCTTCCAGAGCAGAGCGAGTCTCCTCAGGTAAGATTCCCCTTTTAAACAAGTGATAGCAGAAATGGTCATTTATGTGTGTGTTTCCCCCCCTCCCCCGACTCCGTGTTGGTGTTTGCTGTGGAAATCAGAAACAAGTCCCCCAGTACTATCGGGGCCCTTGTGAATGACAGCTACTTCTGCGAGGACGGAAATCTGGTTTTGACAAAAGGCCCAGATAAACCCTAAGCTGTCCTAATTATAGCAAAAGACTGATAGAAGGAAGAGGCACTAATGGGCATCTGGACAGCTGGAAAAAGAAATCTGATATTTTGTCTACTGCATGTGTTTTACAGGGGCAATGTCACTATTTGGAGTGTTTCTCATGCAAATGTTTGGGGCACAGTCTTAAAAGGAAAAAAGAAAGTATTATTTTTTTAGTCATCTTTAAGGGGCATGCTTTAAAAAATGGAAAGTTCTGCTTATAATCATAATTCCTAGCACACAGGAAAGATTTCCACGTATCTGAAAGATTTCTACAATTCACTTGTGATGCCAGGAAAAGGAGATATTTTGCTGTGCGGGGAGGATGTTTTGGATTGGATGCTTGTTTTCTGAGACCAAAAAATCCATGTGGATGAGACTAAAAGAATACTAGCAAATGGCTTCGTCTTCTCCTATGACTGGTTTGGGGGTCGATTCTAAAGTGATACAATTAAATTCATGAGAATAATTAATGCAGAAAAGACGCTATGCTTGAGACATGACTTTATCAGGTTTTTCATCTTAAAGCGTTTTCCAGATGGCTTTTAGGTTGATGCTGTTCTGTGGTCAAGATTTGATCTTTGTAAAGCAGTACTTTAAAGTTTATCAATTATTTTATAATACCTAGTGTTCCTGAATTTTATAGTAGAAACTTACTATAGTTTTTATAGAAGACTACTGTTGTTGTTATGTACCGTTGAGTCCGTTCTGACTCATAGCAACCCTGCAGTTAGCCCCATGCTTATTTTACAGTGCCACATCAGGGTTCTTAGAGAAGACTGTTGTTACGTGCCATTGAGTTGGTTCCGACTCATAGCGACCCTGTGTAGGGTTCTCGAGGAGCAGCTGGTGAGTTTGAACTGCTGATCTCGTGATCCAAACTGACCTTGTGGTCCAGTGCTTATCCTACAGAGCCACATCAGGAGAAGCCCAGGTGGTTAAACACAAGGCTGCTGAAAGAAACACTGGCAGTTCAAACCCACCAGGAAAAAAGATCTGGTGATCTATTCCCATAAAATCTCAGGCTAGGAAGCCCTATGTGGTAGTTTTAGTGTGCCCATTAGGATCATTATGACCTTGGTTTGACTTGATGACACACATCAACAAGAGAACACACTCAAAAGAAAATACAGTATTCACAAATGCATCAAAGTGCTTGAGCAGTCTGTGAAAAAAATACAAATGGAATACATTGACTTCTAAATGTAATAAAAACCCCAGACACATCTGAAAAAATTCCAGAGAAGGGGTTGCTTTGTATTCCGCAAGCTGTTCTGGTCTATGGATCCAATTAGCCCTAGGAAAGCCACACTTGTATTTAATTTTTGCAGGGTTGTTGTTGTTCAGTACCGTCAAGTAGGTTCTGACTCATAGTGACTCAGTATAGGGTTTCCAAGGAGCAACTGGTGAGTTTGAACCACCGACCTTGTGCTTCAAACCCACCTTGAGGTCCTACGTTTATCCCACAGCACCAGCTTTATTTCATTTCGTTTCCTACCACACTTAGACTTAGCAGCTCACACATGCATGATCACAGATTCATGTCCAAGGTAAGTTTATGGAGGCAGTTTTGCCAAACACTAGTAACAAAATTAATTTAGTTTTACTTTTCCTGTTAAGTAATACAACATTTCCTTTAAAAATAAAACCAAAACAAAACATGCTTTTCCTCACTTAGCTAAGCTCCACTTGCTGCTGTCTGTCCCCTTTGAGTATGTTCCACAGGGCCCAAGCCTTGTATTTTTGCAGGCTGGAGATAAAGTGGCCTACAAGGACAGGAAGTGGACAGAAAGGGGCTCTTGACGGGATCCGTTTGATAGCCTCCTTGGTGAGAGGCAGTTTTTCTGCTAAAAACTGAGAGGATCTGAAGGACAGGTCTCATTTGCTGTTTTCAGCTTGAGCCCTGAACAGCATCCTATGATTGAGACCCCAGTGACCAGCAGGCTGACTTGTTTCCTGGGAATACAGCTAACCAAATGAGCCATCTCTGTGGACCAAGCTCATGGATCTTGTGCACGTTCTTATATATACAGATTTTCTTATGGAACTCTTTTGCTTGCACCCTGACACACACATATTCATGAATACACACTTACTCCAACAACTATGACTTCCAAGTCCAACTTGTGCTTTGTGGTGGGATTAAGGCAATTATTTCAGAAGCATTAATTTGGCTGTTCAGAAAGCAACTTGAAGAGCTTACGTTTTGCAGGAGCAGGGTTAGTTCTCCTGTATGCAGCTCTTGGTAACAGAGCTGGCCTTCTGGGAACTCAAGGAACCACCAGAAGCTTGAAAGAAAGCAGTTCGATGCAGCACGACTCGGAAACAGAACCTTCTATCTGTGGCTTTTATTTTCCTTTGACGAATGCTGTAGGGAAATGTTGCTTAAGGGACTAGCATATATGAGCATGAAACTTTTTACCCTTGCAGAAAGTGACTGTTGAACTGGAGACTAGGAATATTCATCTTCCTAGTATGTACAAATTTACAGCAAATGGCCAAATAGCATGGAAAATGTGACACAGAAGCTTTTTTTTGGGGGGTGGGGGGCGCGGAGACACTAGAAACCAAATGAAACTATTTGCTGTCAGTGCTATTGAGTCAGTTCCGACTCCTAATGACTCTGTATAGGATTTCCTAGGAGTAGCTGGTGAGTTTGAACCTCTGACCTTGTGATTCAAACTGACTTTGTGGTCCAGTGCATTCTCCCACACTGCCACAACAGGGCTAAAATTATTTTTAAAAAAAGTTTTGGTGAATCCTTCTATAATTAAGTCAAGAAGACATCTTAAATATTTATTCTCAAACATCTAGAACCTATAGGAACCTGAACTTGAAATGGTTAAAAATTCTGGGCTTGGAGTAATATGAATAAATTTACCCACTCTGGACTCTTGCCTGATTCACTTACCTTGAGTTGCCTTTTTGTAGAATAGTGACCAGCAGCTTGTCTTTTAGTATTTTATCTTCATTTGCATGCTACTTTTAGCTTTCTGAGAAAAAAAATCCCACTCTCTAATTCTGTTATAAGAACAAGGCTGCATTAGAGGAAATCTCCTGTCTAAATGTATGTCTCCAAGAGTCACTATTTCCTGTCTTTCTCTCTTTTATAATGCAAAGCCATCTTGATGTGATATGTCTTGAAATAGTACTTACCCAGGCTAGGATTGGAAAGTCCCCAGTTTCTCTACATTTATGGAGAATTCCAATGTTAATCCCAGTTTGGGAGTGGAAAACAGAGGGTACCCCAGGTTAACTTGAATCACCTTCAAGGGTTACACTGCCAACCTGTCACCCTGTTTTTGATCTTGCTCTCTGGATCCAACTTAGAGGCAAAGACCTGAAAACCTGCCCATCTTAAGTTTCCCCACAGCCACACTGGGGTCAGATCATCCACACTCTGAAACAAGTGTGCACATTACCTAGTTTCACCCCAGAGAGTTTTGCATTTCTGTTTTGGTTCATGAAATCTCAAGTGCATTACAGTATGGAATTGTATTCTCAGGTTCTGATAGTTAAGAAGCTTCCAGGTCAGGAATGAGCACTAAACATAGAAGATGAACTTCATGATAGCAGAAAACGTGGTCACTGTAGTACCTGGCACTATCATAGTAGGGCCTCAGTCAGAGAGGGAATAAGTAACCATGGTTGGTTATGTCCTGTGGAGTCAGTTTCTGACTCATAGTGACCCCGTACAGGGTTTCCAAGGCTGTAAATCTTTACGGGAGCAGAAAGCCTCATCTTTCTCCCGCGGGACAGCTGGTAGTTTCGAACTGCTGACCTTGAGGTTCACAGCCCAATTTGTAACCACTATGCTATGCTCTGGTATAGGGTTTCCTATATGTGTATGGATATGTGTATGGATATGCCACATTTTGTTAATCCATTACATCTGTCATGGGACACTTGGGTTGGTTCCACCTTTTGGGCTCTTTGTGGTCTTCATATTAATGAGCATGCTCTCTGACTTCCTTCACATAAAAGATGATGCTACCAAATCTGCACAAAAAGAACAGAGTTGCCAAGCCTTTTTTTCCTGAAAGGTTGGCAGCTCTTGTCCACCTGAGGCACCTTGGAAGAAAACCTCGGCGGTCTAATTCCCAAAGATCACAGCCATTGAAAACCCTGTGTAGTACAGTTGTACTCTGACACATGTGAGGTCAGTAGGAGTTGTAGTAGACTCCACGGTAACTGGTTTCCTCATTGCTCTCTTGACCTTGAGGATAGATTGTTGTTGTTGTTGTTAGGTGCCATCGAGTCCGTACCGACTCATAGTGATCTTATACACAGCAGAACGAAACACTATCCGATCCTGGGCCAACCTCACAATTGTTGCCATGCTTGAGCCCATTGATGCTGTCATTTTGCCAATCCATCTCGCTGGGGGTCTTCCTCTTTTTCTCTGACCCTCCACCTTACCAAACATGGTATCCTTCTCCAGTGACTGGTCCCTCCTGACAATATGTCCAAAGTATGAGAGACGAAGTTTAGTCACCCTGGCCTCCAAGGAGCACTCTGGCCACACTTCTTCCAACATAGATCTGTTGGTTCTTTTGGCAACCCATGGCACTTTTCATATACTCCTCCAACACCATAACTCAGAAGTATCAATTCTTCTATGGTCTTCCTAATCCACTGTTCAGTTTTTGCATGCATATGAGGTTATTGAAAGTACCATGGCTTGGGTCAGACGCACCATAGTCTTCAAGCTGACATCTTTGCTCTTCAACACTTTAAAAATGTCTTGCACAGATTTGCCTAATGCAATACGTCGTTTGATTTCTTGA